CTTTCATTCATTTCAGTTCTTTTGAAGAAACTTGTTCCTTATAACCCTTGCTATTCATTGTCTGCAGATTTATGCACTGGTTGGTGTTTAAACTAATTGAATTTAATTTTACTGAATCACATTTGCATGTTTCTAAAACAGTGAAGGTATAAAAACGACACTTTATTTGTTATGTCAATCTCTTAACGCTCTATACGACCATTCATAATAAAAAGATGACACAATTCAGATTAACAATCATTTTCTGAGATTCAAGGAAAATTTTGCAATTCTCTTGGATTCAAGTTCCAATTAATGGAAATGCACTGGTATTAAATCTTACATTGATTTATTAATTTGACATGAGCTTCAATTAATTAAATTTATCTTTTTATTTTCTCTTATTCTTTTTCTTCCTAGAAGTTTTAAAATGCTTCACAAAAACAGTCCGACACTTTTTTTTAAGAAGCTTTTCATATTTCATATTATCTGCAAGTGACGAGATCGCTTTCGGCGTCGAAAATTTTCCATATTTGGAGGCCATTTCTGCAGTCACATAACGAGTTTTCTGCAACAGATGGAAAGTAAGCAACTTTAACTAGTGCTGCAGCTAGAAACCAAAAGTTTTACCTTGATTTCAATGTTATTGGGTGGCAATGGCTGTGACAATAAACGTTTCAATTTGGCCAATAAAATTTTCTTCTCCTTTTGCAAGTCTTCAATTAATTCTGCTCTTGTATCCCTTTTGCATTCACTAAAAAAAGAACTAACATCGTTGCAAAACTGAAGAAAAGCATAAATTGCTGCCACCAGAAAAGGAACATCTTGAAATACATAAAGTTTTGTAAAAAGCTTGACTTAGTTCAATACTTTTCTAAAATTACTATCAAATCAAATCAAATGAAAGTGATTTCAAGCTGATCTTCACGAAATTAAAACCGACCTTTCGTCTAAATCTAAATCTGCACTAGCTGCTGCTTTTTCTAACCAAGCCTGCTTGGAACATACCTACAAATCCAGACTATTTACTACTTTCTAAAACTTTTTAACTTTATAAACTGCCTTTAAATACCAATGTTTTGAACGAGTTGAATTTTATATACACCAAGTGTGCTTATACTCTGCTGTCTCAGTCAAAAGAAACTAAGAAATCCAAAACAAAGGAACATCAAAAGTTTTTTCGGTAATCAAACCTTTTTTAAACGATGTTCCAATGCTTCAACTGCTACTGCAGCTGCTACCCTCTCTTTCAAAACATTATAAAGATGGGATGAATCCACTGGAAACATTGGGAGATCTTTCTCTGAAATCGAAATTCTTTAATACATAATGATTAATAATTTAGAAACACCTTTTATTCCACCAAATTACTGTAAAAGCTAAAAAAAATTCATATAAAAAGTGCTTCAGCTACATGAAAGGCTTTTAAAAAGGATATAACCAAAGAGCGCATTAGAATTTGAATTATTATCTGTAAAATAATTGATAACTTATAACCTCTATCCAAATTTCTACATATTCTGTGATAATAATAAACATCCTGAGGATCAATGAGTAAAATAGCTAATCCCTCCTTCGTTGCTCGCGCTGTTCGACCACATCGATGTATATATAGCTAAAAATATGAAATATGAGCTTGGAAGTATCTACTAAAACCATTAACAAATAAGCTACAATTATGAACCATAAGAAACTGGCTACAATCAACATTATACGCATTGTTATGGGACTAATACGATGAAATATTCTAAATGCGCAATTCAATGCATCACAACAAAACAAAACATACTTTCACTACTTTAAATTTTTTCAAAATACATAAATTGGCACTCTCTGATTTTTTTATATTTTATAGTTATACCTGCATTTTAACTAGTGAAAAATGACTTTTAATAAGCGTTATTTTTCATTTGCGGGTTATTTAAAAAGAAATAAAACGCATGATATTCTACCTATAATAAAAAATAACTGAAAGTTCAGGTACAACAATAAAATACAAGGAATGAGGAAGCAAGATAAACCTCGGCAGTTCTAGGCAGCTGGTAATGAATTACGTGCTCAATTTGTTGAATATCCAAACCACGTGCAGCTACATCCGTTGCAAGAAGAACAGAATTCTCCTCTTCTAAAAATTTATTTCTTCTTGACAATTTAGATGCAAAATAAACGAAAAGAGTGAAGACGATAAAAAACATACGAGCAAACTTTTCTAGGTTACCCAACCGCTTCTTCTGCAACATTCTTGCATGTAACATAAGTGGAGGAGGTTTATACATAAGCTGAAATATATGATATTCATCGAGTAGCTAAATCTCATCATTTGTAAATTGTATATCTGAGATATTTTGCTCATATCCACGAAAATTTTAGAGTCTATTTTGCGAACATGAAATCAATTATGCCTGATCAATAATATAAAAAACCTCACTGCTACCTGCTTTAATATTCCATGCAATCTTCTAGATGCATCGACTGAATTAGTAAATACTAAAGTTCGACCAGGATAACGATGCAATAGATATACAAGACTGGTGTCCTGAAAACACAATAAAAGATAAAATTGTAACAGAAAAGTAAAAAGGTTTCGAAATAT